AGAGCATTTCTCAAAAATCGAGTACTAGAAAATAATTGCAACCAAATAAAGTTTTTGCATTTTTGTTCACTTAAATAACAGCTACGTTCGAACTATTAAAATAAATTTTATTTTAAAGGTGAATGTAAGAAATCACATAAAATCTTATTCCTCCTCACAATTCAAGCAATTTATAAAATTTTAAAAGATCACCTGAGCAATTTTCCGTTGTCGCAGCCTTCAGCATCCGAGTGCTCCGAAAGAAATATTTTCCCGTTTTTTTCCTGAAATTCCTTTTTTCATTCTCTCCTGCCGGTATTAATTCAGCGGGGACACAAATATGCGCGAAGGTGCCACCGATTTTATATTTGATAAGCCCGGGGCACTAACAACTTTTCGCTCTTTTATGCTCCTTTTCTGCTCCGCTTTTTCTCCGGAGCACTTTTCCATTTTTCCGGTAACGTCCACATTCCTCTTTATTAACTCCTCTCGATGGAAAATGGGACAAACAGAAACTGGAGGTACCGGAAATGAGTCGCTAAGTGAGATAAGTCATCGGAGACGATGACTTTTTATTTTTCATCGATTTCAAAGTTCTTCAGCGAAGCTTCAAGACTGAATATATTTTGATGTAAAGTTCCAGATTTTGGTTCTTTCTTTTGCATACAAATACTTTGTTTATAAATGTGAAATAGTTCGAAAATATTAAAAACAAAATATGTTGTGATGCGTCTATCGAGTGTGATGTATATATTTTTTCATTGAGAGTTCTAAGGCATTTTTATAATGAGTAATTTGGATAACTTTTTCCCTATGACTAAATTAAGTAAATGTTGCTGTGTCCAAACGGTGGGCATTTTTATCTGAAGAAGCATTTACTAAGATGGCAGAAACATAGCAGATTCAGCGCTCCTCATGGTACATTAAAACAATTTCTCACACTGCTACAACATTTTCCTGCCATAAATATAAATGAATTGCATGGTTTGGTTTGGGTTTCGCTGTACTATAACTTTTTACACACTTTGGGTTATATAGACCAGGACATTTTCATTAACAGCTATAATTGTTATAATGAGTCCATTATTCTATTATAATTCAATTCTTATAATTAATTTTGATAACGTCCTTTCCTATGACTAAATCAAGCAAATCTTCAAACATCGGGTACTGTCTTCAAACGTCGGGCACTTTTATCTGAAGTGATAACTATAAGTTACTAAAACGGCAGCTATGCAGCAGATTCAACCTTACACATGGTAAAAAGTTTGTCACATTGCGCCACATTTTCCTGCCATAAATCTGAACGTGTTACGTGAATGGCCTCTAAGGATTTTAACACACTTTCCTTCTTCTGGTATCTGTTAAAAAGATTTTCAGACCTACTGATTTATCGTAACTATCTCTTCCGCACGAGAATAACTGTTTCGCAGGCTTGTCGAGTTTGGTTCACGGTTTCTTCAGTGCAGATTATCAATCAGCTATCTAATTCTCTGCTTCAACTTAAAACAAGGATCGGGACAATTGAAGACCAAAGTTTGGTTTGGTTTGTCGTTCTACGTTTATTGTGTGCACACTTTAGGCTAATTAGACCGGACCACCACTTTAACTTGGATTCCAAACCAGTAACAAACATCCATGCAACCGATATGAAAAGACTGTAGAGAAAATCAATTTAAATATCATAGTTACACTTTCCTACGGAAGTCTGGGTAAATAGTTTATACTAACTATAAGGCATTTTTGTGAGGGACTCGCTTTACGATTAATTTATAATTCACACAAGAAAAATGAGAAAATTTCCGATTACCCTGTTAAACATAAATACATTTTCATAAAAAACACAACCTTTGTAAAAAGTAATAATCCATGATATGAAAAATTATGGAAGTGCTAGAAATTAACGTAGTTGCAAATGTAACGATCAGCAGTGTGATGAAACTTCGAGTTAACTATATTTCATATAAGTATGAATACTCGATATCGTTATACTGATGAATTACAGTAACGAGTCTTTGGAAGAATATAACATCGGCAACCATATGTTAACAAGATCGTTAAATGTGAATGCATTTGTAATTGATTATGCAATGAATTTCTAAAAAGAGAATCAGCTTCTAGACTGTAATGATCAGGAAAGTTTAGAAATACAAGTCCTCCATTGGACCATTATTGTGACAGATAAACATTACAGCCAAACTCCAAAGTTCTTCTCTTGTATCAGTCACTGAAAGGTAAGTCTCCTATTCAACTGTGGGCAGAATACTTGACAAAGGATGGAGTTATATAAGACGGCTAACTTTGTGTATAACTTCCAAAGTACATCATCGAAATAAAAGCTTTAACTGAGAAAGCATACTTGCCTATTGGCGTATATTTGTCTATTGAGTCAATCAATGGTGTTATGTAGTCCTTATTGATGAGTCTAGAGTTTATTTGTAATGTGACTCAAGAAGATTATTGGTCTGGTGGAAGCCGAAAACGTATTCATGAAAGATACAGTTTTTGTGAGATACACACATATATATATATATATGTAACAACTGTTAAATCTTCAAATGGCTACATTGGCATTCACATCACGCCAAAAGGCAACCTAATGGCTGAGTTATGAAAAAAAACACATTTTTGAACCAGCCTTTCATTCTTAAACAGGTACTGTTGGTGACACCTCTATTCTGCAATACATTAATTGAAGCAATACAGAATACATAGCACATAATGTATTTGGGAAGAATAAATTTTGTGGCTCAACTGTGATGGGAACCACGTTTACCGGATTTAAATATGATTGATTATGTTTGAGATACCCTAGGGAGAAATTTGCTACACTAAACAAATCCCTTCAACCAATCATATTCTTTCAAATGCCTTGTTACAGCGACGACATTTGCTGCCAACTGTTCTAATTAGCACATATTGCGCATTGAATCTAATTGCATATTGAACTCGGATATTATACTTTTAGAAGAAGTTAACTGTTTTTATTTTCAAAACAAAAAATAGTTCCTAATTTGCGCAGCACAAATATAATTTCTACATTTCACTAAATACAAATGAATAGAAACTGCACACTCATATTTTTTCTTATTTTCCTTAGTTTTTGGAAATGACATTATACTGTACAAATCTTCTTTTAATTTTTAACACGGGATGAAGGGTGACAAAACATAGGACATTTACTAAAAATTACCTTTTGAAATTAAAGAATTAAAAAAAAATCATAATATCTGATATTCTAAATAAAATCATACATCTGATATATCTTATATATATCTGATAAGAATATCTGATATCTGATATAAAAAAGTTATAAACAAAAATTTATACATACTTAATTTTTTTAACAGACTCACTTCAGAAAAACCTTGTAAAGTTATGAATGATATTTCTACTTATTTTAAAATTTCGTATGCCTCTATCATGCTTTTGGAATGTAGGACACATAATTTATCCTTTTGAACACCGAATATGCTACAAATCCACATTCTAAAGGTGAATGACTTAAAATAAAGTGGCCAGCATTCAAAATAACAAATTTCAAGACATCAGAAGGAAAACGATGAAAGATTTAACTTACCAGGATTGGCTCGTACTATTTTTACTCTATAAGGACTTTGAAAAGGTAGAAGAAATCATAAGCTCAACAGTCAACATAAAGAAGAAGCAAAAGAAGTAATAAGAACGAAGTAGACACTAATCTGGAAAAGAAAAAGTCAAATGAACTAAGTCATTCGATTAATGAAATTTATATTTAACTTTAAAGCTTTTTAAAGGTTTTTTCTTTGATCTGCGAAAAATACTTCTTACGATTCATTCAGAATTAAGCTCCAGTTTCAAGTTATCAATGGAAACTCTAGTTGACGGTGTTTAAAATAAGAAAGAAAAATTGTTTGTTTATCTTTAAGAATCAAATGTTTATAAAAAGATCTGAGGAAATGAAATTATTTTCTAGAAATGAATCTTTAGTAATTTAAGTTGATTCCTAGGAATGGAGCTTTATTGATGTCACTTTTTGAGATAACATTTAATTGCAATTAAGAGTTTTAAATTTTCTACTTAGAGTCTATGAAGTTGTATGTATTTTTTAAAAATACTTTCCTAATAAAATGATTTTCATAAGACACAGTTTTTATGTAAATAATTTAAAATTTTCATGTAACTTGATTTAAAAAGGATTATTTGGAAGAATTAATTTTTATCATTTTCATCACTGCTATATTGTTTTTTTTTTTTTTTTTTGCATGCAGTATTTGTTGCACTATTATTATTGCATTATTTGTGGATGCTTTACAGAATGACGGATTCGATGAAATATATTTAAGTCTATGTCCATCGGAACAATAAATCAGTAAAATTATTATATCTGCCTGAGCTATTGTCACTTGTAGTTATTAAACATACTGGTTTATAATATATGGATGAAATAAACATGATTAATTGCAAAATTTGCGAAGTATATCACATTTAAAATTAATCTAAAATTAATTAGTACTTAAGGGAAATTACAATATTTTCAAAATTGATGTATTAATTTTTATCCCAGTAATGCTGCATTCAATGCAGATATGTATTTATTACAATTTTTTAAATATTTTGTTAAATGAATTTTTTAAAGAATTCAATAAATAGTAGAGCGCAGAGCAATATTGTTAGCGTTACATAAATCGTTAGGAATAAACATAGATATTACTGATGTCAATTACAATCATTAATACTATATCAATTTCTGTTGTTTGTTGTTTCTTATCCCAGTTGGCTGGCCAAGCCCACGAGCCCATACGTACTCATGATTGAAGGGGAAGGAAGCAGCTTTTGTTGTGTTGGAGCACCCGTAGGTAGAAGTCTGATTTCTGCTCCGTAATGCTCTTACAGTCATAGGAGACCGGGACCTACGGCTTAAAGTGGATTCCGAACCCCTACAAACATTCATGGCACCGCCGGGATTCGAACCCGAAACCTGTGGCACCGAGCGCCAGAGCGCTAGACAGACACTCGGCCATTCAGGTCCCAAATTTGCCAACGGCACGCGGTGTTCCCAGGTGGCCCCCCCACCCAAGTACTGACCACGCCCAATGATGCTTGACTTCAGTGATCCAACGAGAACCGGTATATTCCGCATGGTACGGCCGTTAGCCATATCAATTTCTACAGCTGATAATGTAAACAAGGTCCTTATATAAGAAGAAAAAAAATTAATAATTTGTTCTTTTAGATTTAACTGCTTACATTTTTAGTAAATATATTTAATTGCATATTTAACATTATAATATGAATTGTAACAATTGTTTCAATTCAAACATCATCGTTCAAGCAGTCCGTTAACTAATAGCACTATTTATTATGAGGGATCTTCTTTTTTCAATATAGCATTTAAGCATTTAGTCACAGTAACGATATTGCTAAATTTATTTTAATTTTGTTTCTTCTTTTTCAGTATACATGAATTTACTCAACTCAACACACATGCACAAATTTCTAGTAATTGTACATGCATATGTTAATGAGGATATTTTCTAATATTAAACATTAATTATATAAATTAAGAAGCTTTCGAATAATTACTGTTATATTTTAAACACTGGCTTCAGGGGTATTAATTCGATGTACGTTCATTACAGTATGGGGATAAATTAGGGGTTTAGGGGTTATTAGGGGTAGTATTCCAAGTAATAAATTTTGTTGTTATTTTTGAATGCCAGGTACTTTAATCAGAACATTTACCATGAACTCGGCGTATTCATTGTTACCCAAGACAATTCTGATACACTGGAGGGCCGTACGCTATGAAACTTTCCACATTGTACCTACATCGTGTTAAATGAAATCTGAAAGAATGCATTCTGGGCATGAGATCACGACCATGGCACTCCTTTTTGAGACCAATGGAAAGGCATTCTGTTCCGCAGACTTATCATATCCAATCCCGGTCATATCATATTGGTTCGACATCGCTTGTCGAATTTCGTACCAAATTCAGTGAAATACGAAAATTGAAGAGTGATATTTGAAATTTTTCTTCTTTTAAAAATGCGCTTGTTAATGGTTGAATGAATTTCTTGAATTCCGATCAGTGAATTGACCACATCAATAGAATATTTATTGTTGAGTATATTTTTAATTAAATTATGTTATTGAATTAATTTATGCGTATTGAACAAAATTTTTGAACTGTTATGTTAACCACTTAAAATTGAAAATAAATAAATTTTCCAGAAGAAAATGAAAAATATTTAAAATTGTCCATGAAGCGATGCATTGCAACTGAAAATAAAGGAAATAGAAATGCCGTTTCCTCACACCAACAATATATTAATATAAAAACCATAAAAATATTACATTTTCAAGTACAATAAATAGTATACAGTTAATTTTAAACACCTATCTTGTATAAATATTACCTCAATAGCGCATTTTTATCAACCAGTTTTGCTTGAATACATTTCCTGTTCATTTTTATATGTTCCATCAGATGGAGAGATATTTTACATTTTGACGGAAAGTTTCTAGTTTACCTACACTTGTCAATATTCTTCCCTGTTAATATATTATTACAACAATTATTAAGATGTGTGTGAATGGCATTAGGAAATGTTTACAAAAAAATGACTATTTTGCATTGGTTATGTCAAAGGCTACACAATTCAAAGTGTTACCAAGTAAAATTGCAAAGCTGTGGGGATTAGTTTTGATAAAAAAGTATCTTGAAAAAGTCCCATCATTAATATTTTTTCAATAGAAAAATATTGAAAACACTGTTAAACTATATTTCAAACTCCAATTATTAAATATAATAAGGATATACTCTCTTTACCAAAACGACATTCTTTGTTATTCACCATTTTTTCTTTACTACAATACTTACAAACACACATCTATGTTCCATATATCCTTACAAAAACACATGTCTGGTACGTTCCATACATCCTTAGAAAAACACATGTATAGTACGTTCCATACAACCAACTAAAAAGAAGTATGCATTCCTATTTTCGCTATTCGGGACATACCTTCTGAAATAAAAACGATATCTGTATCTACATCAAAAAGAATCGATGAAGTTTCACAATCAACCATCGCGCATTTGTACTTTATCTATACCGTTTCAGTTATTTGCATCGTAACGGAGTCTGCGAAGATTTCGAGTGAGCAAGCAGCGATGAGCACTGGGGCTTGGCTTCATATCTATTCTCTTTCGATTCTGTTCCATACACAGGACCGAGTTTCGGCTGAAAGCTGAAAAACTGCGCTGACAAAGGAAAATATAGAACTTTTTTCTGCAACTCGTTTTTCGTCACAAAATAGGAGGAAAGGGACTCGGGAGTAAATGGAAAGGAAGAATTCTCCGCGAAAAAATACAACAGAAACGCGATGCGCTTGTTTATTATTTCGTTCCGGATAATAGTCCATATAATTCAATCCTCGGAATAGTTTCGGTTCTCGAGAAATGGCATCCGTGCTTCAATTTCAACTGTGATTTCTGAAAGAGAAAATTGTCTGTCGTGTCTAGGGTGGCGCTATATAGTTTTATTCCTTTAAATTTTCTAACTTGGGTTTGTATGGGGACATAAATTATTTGCTTCGTCTTAGAAAACAATGTAAAGCTTAGTATGCTTTAAAATAAGGGAACCATTATTAAAGTCTAGACACTGAATGTAATTTCGATTTATATTTACAATATTTAGTAAAGAAATATTTAATTTAATATCATAAAATTGTATATTTACAATATATGCAACTCATAATATATAAATAAAAATAATTTAGTTTAATAAATTAAAATGGACCTCTGATAAAAAATCGGGTGTGTGAATTTAACAATCATACATCCCATTTTTAATAAATACTTCGTTAAAATTTCCGTTGATTCGACTTGACGAAATACAACGTATTCAGCGAAATTTTTAAGCTGTTGTGTTGACAAGTTAAGATTGAAAACAATTAAATTGTCCAGAAGAAAGTGCAAAATTTTTAAAATCGCCCATTAAAACTCAATCCAATTGTTTGGTGATATTCTCCGGCGATGCATTGCAGCTGAATAAAAAGAAAATAACGGTGCTGTTTCCTCACGAAAGCAATATATAAATATAAAAACTATAACAAATATTATATTTTGTTATACAATAAATAATATGCACCAAATTTTCAATACTTTCCTCGTATAAATTGTAGCGCATCTTCATCACTAAGTTCTGCTTAACTAAAGATACATTTCGTATTCATTTTTATATATTCTATCAGATAAAGGGATATTTTACATTTGATTGAATGCTTCTAGTTTTTCTATGCTTGTTATTATTCATGTCTGTTAATATACTATTACAACAATTATTAAGATATATTTGAATGATATTAAGGAATGTTAACAAACTTGGCATTAATGTACAAAAATGACTATTTTGCATTTGTTATGCCAAAGGCTACTCAATTCAAAGTGCTACCAATTAAAATGGCAGAGCTGTAGGGTTTAGTTATGATAAACAAGTTCCTTGAAAAAGTCTCATCAGTAATATTTTTCAGTTGGAATATACCATTTTGCATTTCAATTGTAAAATATAATAAGTATATAATATATTCAGTCACTTTACAAAAATACGACATTCTTTGTCATTCGCCATTTTTTTCTTTACTACAATCCTTGCAAAAAACATCTACGTTTCATACAACCAGCTAAAAAGAAGTATGCATTCCTATTTTCGCAATTCGGGATATACTTCCTGAAATAAAAATGATGTCGATATCTACATCAAAAGGAATCGATAAAGTTTTACAATCAACCATCGCGCATTTATACTTTATCTATACCGTTTCAGTTATTTGCATCGTAACGGAGTCTGCGGAGATTTTGAGTGTGCAAGCGATGAGCACTGGGGCTTGGCTTCGTATCTATATAAATATAAAAACTATAATATTGTATTTTGATAAACAATAAATAATATGCAATTACTTTTGAATGGCTTTCTTGCATGAAATTTATCTCGATAGCTCCTCTTCGTCATTTAGTTTTGCTTAAGTAAAAATACATTTCTTATTCATTTTTATATATTCTATCAGATGGAGGGATATCTTACATTTTAGCAGAAGGTTTCTGATTTTTCGACGCTTGTCAATATTTAGACCTTTTAATACATTATTATTACAACAATTATTAAGATGTTTTGATTGAAATTAAGTAATGTTTATAAGCTTGACAAAAAAGTAAAAAAAAAAAAAAAAAGTCATTTATTATTTTGCATTGGTTATGCGAATGACTACTCAATTCAAAATGTTACCAAGTATAATCGCAAAGCTGTAGGGTTTATGATAAACAAGTAACAATTTTTTCAATAATACAGTAAAAATAATATTTTTTCATATTTCATATTCCAATTGTAAAATATAACAAGGATATATTCTCTTTACAAAAAAAAAGACATTCTGTATCATTCTCCCTTTTTTTTTTACTACACTCCTTACAAAAACCCTTCTACATTTTAAAAAGAAGTATTCATTCCTGCTTTCGCAATTCGGGACATACCTCCTAAACTAAAAACGATGCCGATATCTACATCAAAAGGAATCGATGAAGTTTCACAATCAACCATCGCGCATTTATACTTTATCAATACCGTTTCAGTTATTTGCATCGTAACGGAGTCTGCGAAGATTTCGAGTGAGCAAGCAGCGATGAGCACTGGGGCTTGGCTTCATATCTGTTCTCTTTCGATTCTGTTCCATACAGAGGACCGAGTTTCGGTTGAAAGCTGAAAAACAGTGCTGACAAAGGAAATATCGAACTGTTTTCTGCACTCGTTTTTCGGCACAAAATAGGAGGAAAGGGACTCGGGAGTAAATGGAAAGGAAGAATTCTCCGCGAAAAAATACAACAGAAACGCGATGCGCTTGTTTATTATTTCGCTCCTGATAATAGTCGATATAATTCAATCCTCGGAATAGTTTCGGTTCTCGAGAAATGGCATCCGTGCTTCAATTTCAACTGTGATTTCTGAAAGAGAAAACTTTTTCTGTCGTGTCCAGGGTGGTGCTGTAGAGTTTTATTCCGTAAAAATTTCCTAACTTGAATCTGTATGTGGCGATAAACTGTCTGCTTCGTCTTAGAAAACAATGTAAAGCGCAATATGTATTTAAATACGCG